CTTAAGACATGAAACGATCGGTCTTTGCAAGAAACTGAACAGTATTTATATAATTTTTTACCTCTGATCCACCGCAATGTCCAACTGTCCTGAGCACATTCACAACATCTGGCGCGTGACACGTGTACGTGCTCTGGCTTAGTAGACATAGATATATATAAGTAGATTCCTCATTAGTCACTGTTTCTACGGGCCGCGATACGTTCTAAAATGGCGGACGCATCAACGTATCTGGAGCGGTCGTATAGGGCATCTACATATCTATGATAGTAGACACATGTGTGGAAGCGATCTGTCGCGTGTATACGTCACTCATTATTTACATAGTGCAGAGAGATTGCGGATGTGTTCACTGGCACTGCGATGATCTAAAGATATTTAGCCTCTCAAAGCCGTGGAGACCATTGACTGTCATTATATGATTGACAGACTGCAATGGTTTGAGTTAAAAATCTTCTTTTGTGTTCTACTGAAGAAACAAAGTCACCTACATCTTGGATGCCCTGGGGGTAAGCAGATAAACATCACATTTTCATTTTTGGGTGAACTATCCTTTTAAATCAGTGTAATTGCTGACTGGTTATTTGCATAACAGTGTATTTAAAGATGCACAATAGGTATGTTGCCAAAATTGTATTAGTTTTGTTTAGTTTATATACTTAGGACCTATTATTTTCTATAGTGTCAAAAGAATAATTAATAGAGTCATTAAAGAACTGGAATCGTAATGATTCACTTCCCTATGCATTATATATAGAGGTTTCAGCTCAGAGTGTTACTGCATATTCTATTCTTAAAAAGTCTGTGACTGAGTTCTCAAAGTTTTGTCTTTTTTTATGAACAGCTGTGGCACTATGAGAGTTGACAAAAGACTTGGTCTATTCAGCTGGATGTAATTGTCAGCATAAGTGTGAATTTTAAACCAGAAGAATTCACTGGGAATGTTTGGTTTGCTGCCAGACTTTCGACCGATGCTCTGGACTCTCTGTCAAGACATCTGGTATTTGTCGTTTTTCTAAAACTTTCTTCAAGTCAGAATGAAACCGCTATCCGCAGCCTGTTTTGCTTGCGTAATGTGACATTTCTGAATGACACAAGAAGTTCAGTGAAATAAAATATAGAACTGTGATTTTATCTGTCAGAATTGTAGATTGTAGGAGCAAGATGTTGTAGATGAACCATTTTTATTTGGAACAGTAAGAACTTTATCAAGAAAGTAAACAGGGTCCTTTTTGTTGACTTTAACCTTCCGGTAAAATTTTCTTATTTCCAAAAGGGCACTCTTAGCAGGTCTGGCCCATTTGGCGTATTCAATTTTAATGACTTCATGTCATTCTGAATTAACTGAATATGGAGGAAATATTTTGGGTACTTCACGGTGCCGGAGGAAAGAAAGAAAGAGATTTAGGCAGATGTTGAGCCCGAGGCGCTAGACTCTTTTATCGTCTCACGGGGAGTGACGCTGACATTCATTATCATTAAAGGTGAAGTCGCTGAGGAAATCTGCCTTCATTCCTTGAATTCTGTAGTTCGAGTCTTAGTTTGGACATCTCAAGAAGCACTGACTATGACTGCATCCCAGTTTTCACATTGTGGCTCTGTTCCAAAACTTTGTGGCGTTTTAAGGCATAATAAGTTTGCTCCCAAAAAGAAAGAGTAGATACAGCTTCATTATTCAGCCTAGCCTTCTAGAATACCTTCTTTTGGTTAAAAACTATGGCAGAATTAGTTTTTGGTATCCTTCTTGGAGAAGACAGTCCCAAAATGCATTGTGATGAACTCAGTGAGAACGTGGGCATGGCTATACCATAGACTGTATAAAAACATGGACGTAGTGTCCGTGACGTCACCCGTTGGTTTCTGACGAGAGTTTTTGAAGCTCAAAGTGGACGGAGCGGGCTGCCGCCATCTTGGCAGCGCGTCACCACACGTCACTCCCGGATAATCGAAAATGAGCAAAGAGGTGGGAGCTGGTTGCTGAAACCACGCCCACCTAGCTCGACGGCGGTGACAGCAGTGGCAATCCACCTGTCACTCAAGTGGCTACGCCCTTAATTATGCAGAACTTTAAGGCTTAATTTAATTTAAACGGATGAATTATAAAAAAATTCACCCCTCTCACAGTTGTCATGAAGGGCAAAATTAGCTATATAGACCAAAATCATTTTTTGAACCAGGCTGTAAACATGTTTTTTTCTGCTGTAAAGTTGGGCATTTTAACATGGGGAGTCTATGGGACTGACTCCCTTTTGGAGCCAGCCTCTAGCGGAATTGCAGTTTTAGTCACTTCCGTGTTGGTTTCACGAGAGAGACGGGGAGGTTGCCGCTTGGGCTATACTCGTAATTTATTTAAGACTGTTAATATATAGATAATAATAACCCTGTTAAAAGTGGTGTATTTTACCTAATACATTTGTGTGCAACTTATTAGCATTGTGCATTGTTAGCTTAGCAATATGCTAATACCATTTAATCACAACAATCACATGGACTTTGACTGTATATATATATATACATACATACATA